TTTCGGGTTTCGCGTTCAGGGTTTAGGGTTCCGGGTTTCGGGTTTAGGGTTTAGGGTTTAGGGTTTAGGGTTTAGGGTTTAGAGCAGGTAAAGCAAAGGGCACCTACCAACTCGGAGGATCGAGGGATCATGAGCCTGAGAGACAGACGATTGCAGCACCCTGGCACACCTCGAAGGCTTTCAATGAACCTCCCTGAAACCCTAAACCCTAAAACACCCAAACCCAAACCCTAAACCCCAAACCCTAAACCCCAAACGTAAACCCTAAACCCCCAAAACCCAAACCCTAAACCCCAAAACCCACAAACCCTAAACCCAAAAAACCCACACCCTAAACCCCAAAAACCCAAACCCTAAACCCCCAAAAGCCCCAAACCCTAAACCCAAAAAACCCTAACCCTAAACCCTAAACCCCCAAAACCCAAACCCTAAACCCCAAACCCTAAACCCTAAACCTCTAAACCCTAAACCCTAAAACAACCAAACCCCAAAAAAATCCCAAAACCCCAAAAAACCCAAACCCCCAAAACCCAAAAAAACCCTAAACCCACAAAACCCACTAAACCCCACGGCCAAGCGACTCTGCTCCGCAAAGCCCCGCAGCAGCCCCGTCACCGCCAGCGCGGCCGCCGAGGTCGCGTTGCCAAAGAGCATCCCCGAGACGGGCACGACCTTCGTTTAGGGTTTAGGGGTTTGGGGTTTAGGGTTTAGGGGTTTGGGGTTTAGGGTTTAGGGTTTAGGGTTTAGGGCTTTGGGTTTAGGGTTTCGTCTTACATTCCTCAACTTCAACAGACTATCGTATGTTTCAATATATTTCAATATAGTTTCATACAGTTTAGAATTTAGTATAGTGTAATGCATGTTTTTATGTATGCTGTTGAGGGGTTCTTGACAGGTACTACTGCAATCACTGCAATCGACATCAAGGTCCTCTGCGCATTGGCTTCACGTATTTCCCTGCACCGGTACCTTTCCAAAAAGCACTATAGCTATAGAGCACTCACTTTTAAAAAGGCCGGGTCGCGCTGTGTGGCTGCCACCAGGGGTTTGGCCGCCCGAAGAGGCCCAAAGCCATGGCGACGCCCTGCACGGAGAGGACGCCGGAGAGGATGGAGACGAGAAGGTGCCGCGGGAGGCCATCGTAGGTGTACTCCAGCCGCGACAGGGCCTCTAGGGGATTTTTTTCGCAGAGCTGGGCTATGTATAGTAATGTAGGGGCCTTCATGATTAGAACAGGGGTTTTGGGATAAACTATACTAAAAATTATAACAAGGAGCATCCATGACAGTGTTGAAAATAATTTAGGCCCTTCTAGTATAGTACCTGAAAGATTCTGAAGTTCACTCAAGAAGTCGCTGTGTTTTTGTTAATTACACAGTCGGGTACTTTCCTGAGAGCCGGCCTGCTGCGCCGCCAGGAGGCCCACGCCCAGCACCCAGGCGAGGACGATGCCCGGGTGGCGCGTGCCGAAGAGCCAGTTCAAGATCAGCCCCCCGAGCAGGTAGAGCTGCCTTGGCTGTTCTTAAGGAGCTTCGTGTAAGTTGCCATAACGGGGATATAGAGTAAGTAATAGGGTTTCCTTATCATCGTAGTGAAACTTAACTCAAGTAAGTTCCTTAACAGCAACCCAGCAGCAGAGCACAGCGAAGGCAGCTCCAGAGCATCGCTTCGGCAAGATCGCTCAAACCCCGCAACCAGAGTGTCAAGCTCCCGGTGGCGCCGACTATGCCCGAAGCCCAGAGCAGCTGAGTCGTGCTCAACTTCGCAGCCACAATCCCAGCCTTCGTCCCCCCCGCTCTCGAAAGACCGCGCGCCCAAGCGTACCGGCCAAAAAGCAGCGTGGAGAAGGGAAAAACAACGGCCAACAGTCGCGACATCGACTTCCAAGATGTTCGGCGTCTTGGTTGCGCTCCGGCGCGCATGGGCAGCTCACTTCTGCGAGAGACGTACGGGCGCACTGGAACCAGGTGCTGGAGGCGCTTCGGGGCAGTTTGCGGCTGGGATAAGCTGAATCGGGGCTGCCCATGACCAGTCACCGAGAAGGCTGCAATGGGAGAAAAGCTCCCCCCAGACATGGCGAACTTTGCGCAGACTGTCCGTTGCATATGTCCCGTGGCACAGGATTTGGGTTCGAGGCTCCGCCGCAATACTCTGAAAACCTCGGAGAATCAATGTCAAATGCTCCTCAAAGCCAGACCGGATCCGGCGTCTACTGTACTGGATTGCCAGGAATGCTACACAAGTTGCCAGGGCACGCAGGTCCAGGCATTCTTTAAGCCTCTCAATAAGCAGTAACGATTGTTTCGGGGTGGGCTTTAGAACAGGGTAGGGCGTTAGGTCATAATCTAGCATAGTTTTAATCAGGAGCCATCAGGAATGGAGTTCGTGAGTCTTCCGGCTTCTAAATGGTTACCATAAAACCTTAAACCCTAAACCCGACCCAAAACCCTAAACCCTAAACCCGACCCTCCAACTCTGGCGGCTAAGGCTGCGGGATGCACTCTGCACGCGGAAGAGCCTTTTTGGGGTCGGAGGGCTTAGGGTTTTGGGCCGTAGGAGCCTCGGGGTATTGAATCGCGATTGGGGGGTGTAGGAGTGTAGGTTTTTTAAGGAATTTAGGGTTTGGAGTGTAGGTTTTTTTTTAAGGGTTTAGGGTTTAGGGTTTAAGTAGGATTTAGGGTTTAGGGTTTAGGGTGCAGGGGTTTAATCTCCCCTGCCGAGTGCCCAGGGGCACATCTCCCAACTTCCCCAGGGAGGCGCAGAGCTCACAATGAAGCCACCGGAACATCAAGCTGAGCTCAAGACTGGATGCCCCAAACCAGGAGACCTCCAACTAAGAAGCTGAGACGAGACCCCGCCACATCGTGGGCGCTGTAGCTCCGAACATCCAAAAGACATGCTGATTAGCCGATAGACAGAGCACAAACCTGAAGCCACAACGAAAGAAACCCCAACCCTAAACCCCTAAACCCCTAAACACCAAACCCCTAAACCCCAAACCCCTAAACCCAAACCCCTAAACCCAAACCCCAAACCCCTAAGCCCTACCCTAAACCCTAAGACAGTAGGAGTTGGCCCCCGGCGCCCCGGAACCCGCGAGGCGCAATCGCTGGAGGAGGCCGGCGACCCTCCAAAGCTTTGCTTTTCGGGCTCAAAGCTTCGGGCTCAAGGCTTTGAGGCTTAGAGGGTTCAGGGCTTCGGGTTTAGAGGGTTTAGAGGGTTTTGGGTTTAGGCGTTAGAGGGTTCTTTGTTTTCCGGGCTCAAAGCTTCGCGCTCAAGGCTTTGAGGTTTAGAGGGGGTGCAGGGTTTTAGGGCTTAGGGCGTAGGGCTTAGAGGCTGTGGGGTTTGGAGGGTTTAGAGGGTTTAAAGGGTTTAGAGGGTTTAGAGGGTTTAGAGGGTTTAGGGCTTCAGGTTTCGAGTTTCGGGGATAGGGTCGGGTCGGGGTTGACAGTATGGGGTTTGAAGCCTTAGGGCTTAGGACTTCGAAACTATCAGGTACTACTACCATCCAACCCCAAGATTTTTTGTGCAATAAGGTTTCCATATTAAGCCACGTGGAGAGATCAAGTGCTGCCGGATGGATATCAAGTTGAGAGAGGTGTGTCAAGAATCAGAAGAGTACTTTACGACTCATACTGCTGTACTATCTAGAAACTGTCAGGCATCACTCACACAATCTCAACGATAGAACTCGCCGCTGAAATCATTCTACTCCCCTTGGTTTCGGGGACTCCAAAGGAGCCATGTTTGACACTTGTAGCACGATTGCTACAATACTGATGGCAAATACTTACTAACTAGTTGCGACTATTGCCAGCCACAGCAGCCCATAGCAGCTGCAGCGACCAATATGACAACGCAACCATCAGTACTAGATGTGTGTGATTCATGTAGCAAGCGCAGCCCCAAAACCAAATAAAAGAGCAACCAAGGCCTGTGTGGCCCCGGACCCCTCGCCCGGGAGATGAACTTGCGCTGAAACCTGCGATAGATGGCGAAGGCAAGCTCGTAGGAGTTGAGGCATAATGTAGGAGCATCAATTAGAATTGGGTTTCGGGGCATATGACAGAAAGAGTATGATGATAAGGGGACTAAACCCTAATCCCTAAACCCTAGACGGCCAAGCTGCCGAAAGACTTCGTCGCTGACCTCGCTGGGAAGCTCTGTCTCCTCGCTGGAGGCAGGGGGCGGCAAGAGCACGACACAGCAGAGCATAGTATGGGAATGTAGAATCATTTATAGTAATGTGTATATATATATATATATAGTATAGTATAGCATACTCAATGACGATATGACAGTAGGAACGACATTTTTCTGACCATATAGGACATATGCTATGGACAAGCAAGACTAGCATGTCCATCTGAATACTAAGCGATTCCGATGGTAACGGCAACAGCGTCCGTAAGAGTCAAAGCCAGAAGCAAAGCCTGCAAACAAACCCTAAAACCTAAACTGTAAGCCCTAAACCCTAAACCCTAAACCCTAAACCCTGAACCCTACAACCCTACCACAGCGGACCCCGGAACAGCTAGTTCGAGGGGTAGAGCTTGGGGCTTCGATTCTGCGGTTTAGGGTTTAGGGTTTAGGCTTTAGGGCTTGGGGCTTCGATTCTGGAGAGTCGCAGCCCTGAACCCTAAAACCCTAAATTCGAAACCCTAAAGTCTACCCCCTGAACCCTAAACCCAAAGTTCTAAACCCCTGAAGTCTACCCTCTGAACCCTAAACCCCTCAATCCGAAACCCTAGTCCTTAGCTCGAATACTTGGAGGATCATGGGACTTAGTAAGTAAGGTTATAAGTCCCTTAATTGGGGTTATAAGTATAGTTACCCTAATCATAACCCTACTTACTAAGTCCCATGATCCTTTAAGTAGCGGCTTCGGGTGCCTTCTTGCGGCCCACGGTGAAGGGCACCGGCGGGCCCCCGTAAAGGGGAAGCTCCGAGAGCTGCCTGGCGGACCTGAATCACAAAGCAGCTTCGCAAGGGTTTAGGGTTTAGGGTTTAGGGTTGAGGGTTTAGGGGTTTAGGGTTTAGGGATTCAAGGGTTTAGGGTTTAGGGTTCCTTTAAAGGGGCCATAAGGGTTCCTATAGGTATTCCCTCAAAGGGAGCAAGCTACAAGAGATCCTACAGTAGTTTCCTGAGGGCTTTGGATTTGGGGTTGCATGTTGCCCTTAATGAACAGAATAGGGCTCTAAAGGGTTCGATTCAGGGTTCCTTCCAAGTTACTCGAGACGATATAATTACACAAGGGTTTACGCGTTTGGGCTTCACGGTTTACTGTAGACCACTGATAACTAATCTGCTTCTCCTTAGGGGCCTTAAAACTACCATCCCTTATGCAGCCCTTGCCACTATGTAACCTATGGCGCTTTGGGGCTAAGGACACACATGAAGGGAGATAAAGGAGCTAGGCGACTCGGGCTGCTCTGCGAGGAGTGCTCCACCTGGCACAAGGCTGAAGGCTGAAACGAAGCCCGTTCGACAAAAACAAGACGGCACCTTGCCAAAAACTCAACAAAATCCTTGGGACAATTCTGGGAAGCCCGTTTGAACAAAAAGACCTGAGATGTTTTTTCTCTTCCTGAAGGTTACCGGGTTAGAGCTAAGTTCAGGCTTGGGCATGAGGTCTCACAGCTTTTAAGGAGCCTCTAGGGGCTGCTCTCAAAGTTATCTGAGAAGATATGTGGGAGTTTCCGAAAGTAGGGGGTACCTTATTTTGGGGGTCCTTATAATAAGGAACCTATTATTTAGGGTACTATTTTTAGGGTCCCCTATTCTTGGAAACCCCCATGTGATTTAGGATAGCCCCTTAGTCAAGATCTTGAAGGGCTTCCGATGCTCGCTTAGGTCGCCAAGGCTCGTTACTCGTTCCTTCCCTCTCATGCTTCGCCCGGAACGGTTTAGGGTTTAGGGTTTAGGGTTCATGAGCTGCTCAAAGAGTTCATAGCTTTGCTGATCTTCGGCTTTTGGGTACCTTTTAGGGGGCTGCGGCTGCGGTGTGCGGGTCCTCAAGAGTCCTGCGAGCCTCTACGGCACCAGCAGGGCCAAAGCCCTAAACCCTCAACCTCTCAATCCTAAATCCCTTAACAACAAGTCCTGCCTCCGTGGAGAAGAAAGAACCAAAGCCTAAACCCTAAACCCTAAACCCTAAACCCTAAACCCCAAGCAAAACCTCAGAGGCTCCGGAGACCCGCCTTCGGTGCGCTCCACGGCCCTGTGCCAGCCTAGAGCCAAAGATCTTCCGAGGGAGTGGGGTTTAGGGTCTAGGGTTTAGGGTTTGGGGTTTAGGGTTTAGGGTTTAGGGTTTAGGGTTATAGAAATTGTATAGGGTTTGGGGCTTTCCAAAACTCCCATGAGAAGCGCACGATGCTATAAGGATCCATAAGGGTTCGTATGTTTTTAGGATTGAGAAGGGTTCGCATGTTATAAGGATCCATAAAGGTTCGTATGCTCGTATATTTTAAGGATCCATAAGGGTTCGTATACTATAAGGATCTATAAGGGTTACTATACTACAAGGATCTACAAGGGTTACGATACTACAAGGATCTATAAGGTGTAAGGCTTACTGTGGTGTAAGTTGTGGCGTGGTGATGTCTTGTAACGAATTATGCCAAGTATGCACACGGGAGGGACCCCCCATATTCGAGGGCTTGAGGTCTCCACTTCGGGAGTATCCCTAAACCCTAAACCATGATGGTTTGAGGTTTCGAGCTACTGTCGACTCTTACGCCCCCGACGACCTTAGTTCTAACACCATGCAAACTGCCAGAACCCTAGAATCCCTGGACCTTGTGAGACCCTGAAACATCGGTCGAAAACCTGAAACTTTGGATAACTTTGGATCCTGGAAAACTCTGTAACTAAACGAAAACTCTTTAAGTCCCGTATCTCCAAACTGCCAGGACTGTCCCCGTAGAAAACCCTTCGATGCCCCTAGTACAAACTGCCAGAACTTTGGAGACCCCACCAAACAACGTATTCACCACACGCCTGGCCCTGAATCCTAAACCCTTGGACACCCTACCAAACAACATCTTCACCGCACGCCTGGTGCATGGCAGTTCGTCGACTTCCCCGCCGGCGGAAATCCGTCGG